TAATTGTTATGTTACTTTGGGAGTAAGGAACCTTAACTTTTGTCACAGTGATTTAGTTTACTTTTAGGTTCCTGCCTGCTCTCCAAGTTGTCATTGTGTTTGCTTTTTGTTTTCGATTTTGGCAATAAAGGATACGAATAAAAACTTTAATTATAAGGGCAATAATTATATTAATAAGCATAATAATGATGATGAAGATGATGATGATGATGAGTGATGATGATAATGATTATGATAATGATGATGATGGCCAAATAATAATGATAATGTGGTGCGGCAGTTACGATGTCAACAACAACAAATAAAAACAATAGTAAAACTTAGCCTATATAGCACTTTACACAACGTGCAGTCGTATCACTGAAAAGGCGTGAACAAAAGGCGTGAATATAACTGCTTACAAAAAATAAACGCAAATTCTATAGACAATGCTTTTAATAGCCAAATAGGTATTTGCTAATTACGTTATGTTTACTTTTTTGAAATTTTTTGTAAACTAGCTTTCCAAATTTGATCCATAACAATGATTCAAACACATTTCAAGAACATGACAAATAAAAATCCTATACTTTATAAAAATGATATTTTAATTGCCGTTAAAAATGTTCACTTGATTGACTTCCTCGATTGTGACTGCTGACTTGCCTAAACGATGCCGTTCGTAGTGTCATTTTAATCTCATTGAACAGTTTTAGGACGGAGATGGTGAAAATATTGCCAACAATACAAAGGTAAATAAATTACAGCCACTCTCAACTGGTCCTTGGTAGTATAGTGGAGAGTATCTCCGTCTGTCAGTTCAAAAGGCCTATTAAATGTAGATTTGTGTGTATGTGTAAAGTTAATCAGTAAAAACCATCAGTGAGTCCTCAATGATTGAAATAGTTAGTCATTCACTCAAATAAATCAATTGGAATATAAATAAGAAAGAAAAAGGGAAGAAAAGATAGCGAAAAGGTAAGTAATGACACAACATAAAAAAAAAACATGAAAAGAAAATGTAAGAAAGGAAAATATAAGAAAGAAAAAGGAAAACGACAAGGAAACATAGCCTATAATGAAAAAAAGAGAAAAGAAAACGATAGGGAATAAAAGAATGGAAAATGAAATAAAATATTTGGGAATAGGCCTATACTGTAAATAAGAAAGGAAAAGAAAAGATAACAAAAACTTAAGTAATGATATTAGACAACAAGAAAAAAATAAAGATAAGATAAGGAAAATAATAGAAGGAAAATAAAGGATGAAAAATAAAATGAAAAGGACGTAAGAAAGGATAATAATAAGGACATTTATTGAAAGATAATTAAGGAATAATGGTAAAAACAAAATGGAAATATAGAGTAAAAAAAAAAACGGAAAAGGAACTTGGAATCACTGTGTATGCTGAAGTTAAATTATTAATTACAAATATTGACCAAATTACAAATAGGCTAATTATCTTATATAATACATTTGAGTTAAATTTATCATAAATTTCAAATTTAAAAATTATATTAAAATAATTTCTGTAAGTGGTTTACACCAAAATACCTACAAACACCAGTGGCGTATCCAGGAGTCTTTAAGTGGGGGTGCTGATGGGGGAGAGGAGAAGGTGAAGTAAGGGGCTCGATGATCAGTTGAGGGGTAGCTAACTAGCATAATAAGGTGATTTTAGGTGATTTTTAACTATTTGATCGTGATTTTTGGGGGCGCCTGGGAGGGTGCAAGTAATTTTTGGAGGGGCGTGTACGACCCCCTCCACCCGCACACCCCCTAGAAACGCCACTGACATTAATAGTCTGAGAAAATCGATAGAGCTTTTTAATTTTTGATCCTTAAAAATAATTCAAAGAAACATTACAGCTAGTTGATATCTTCAAAAACATAAAAAATATAAATCATAGACTTAAATGTATACTCTCGATTGACTACCTCGGTCGTGGACTGTTAACTTGCCCTAAACCATAAAAGATGCCGTTCGTAGTGTCAGTTTAATCTTAATGAACACTATTTTAGGACAGATATGATGACAATATTGCCAACAATACAGAGGTAAATAAATTTCAATTACTTGCAGCTGGTCCTTGGTAGTATAGTGGTGAGTATCTCCGCCTGTCACGCGGAAGACCGGGGTTTAATTCCCCGCCAGGGAGGCCTTTGCTTTTCTTGAAAAAAAAAAGGCCTACCTACATTTTTTTCTTAATTTTTGTTTCTAAAGTTAATTAGCAAAAACCATCAGTGGGTCCTTAGAATTAGGATAGTTATTGATTGGTATGCACTTGCAATTCCTTTATGGTGCAGTATGTATGTATTTCTGGTTACTTCTAAGCTATTGAAAAGTGTATTTTGTTGTTTCTGTTGATATTAGTTTTTTCCTATAAATCGGTCAATGTTTGAATTTTAAATTCACTCTTAAGTAGTTTGTTTTATTTTATGCTCAATCACAGAGTGTATAAACATAAACAAATACTGCAAAGAGAAAACAAATTAAGAGAATAAAATCAACATCACCATTTAAATTTAGAAAAATACATCAAAAGCAATTTAAAACAACAGAAAAGTTGATGGCACAAAACCAAGAGAAAACATTACAAATTTACGAATAAGAAGGAAAAAACACGATATTTCCAATATCAATGCACAAACGAACCTGCATTAGAAGAGTGATTCAAGCCTTTATTCGTTTATGAACGAATAGGACACATTTGAAATATTGAATACCGATTGAAATTGGGTTTAGAGTTGTTTCACGCTGCAGTATTATCTATCTAATCTCTTGAACCCCATGAGACTAGAATATTATCTTCAACTTCTAGTTTGAGCAACAATATGACTGCAAGTTGTCCTACTGATATTTAGAAATGAACAAAGGCCTATCAGACAAGGGTATTTGCTATTACAAAGTTATTATTAAAGATGATTCTCTTAATTAAGACAACACTCCCTTTATCATCTGATTTTGTACATGCACGTACTTCAAAATTTGCCATCTGAATAAAAACAGGTATTATCAAGTAAATGATTATTTTACTTTAGTCTCGTTCCAAGTAACTTACTGGCGGTAAAACATACTGTGTCATGATCGCCCGAGGACTTTGAAATGGTCATTCTGTCAATCAATCAATCAATCAATCAATCAATCAATTTATTAGGAATAACACCTTAAGATCGGTGGCACACACAACAATAATAGTCGTGCATCCAAATTAACATTTTTTACAGACAATAAAGTAAATTTAAAAGTAAGCATATAAAGAAATACAATTTAGAATGTTTAACTTAATGCTAAACAAAGTCGAGAAATATAATTAACGTAATTGATAAAAATTCATACAGGCCAATAAAAATCACAAACCCGTATATCGAACAAAAGCAACAAATAAAATAAATTTAAAATTAAAAATGAAAGACAAACAAATGTCAAAAGTTCTACCATGTTTATGAAAAATTGCTTATTAAGATAAATTATTTATGGAATTATGGAAAGGAATTAAAATTGATATATTTCGGACAATCAGAATGAATAATTTTAAAATCCTGTAGTATATAATAATGTCCATACACTGAAAATTGAATACAAACTAAATGTATCAAAGTGCATACACCTCATGTACACAAAGTACCAAATTTTGATGAGATTTGCTCTGAAGTTACCGGTAATTGGTTGCTTTTCCGGTTGAGCACTTGTTCTCGGACTGTCAATCCAGCTACCTTTAATCGGTAATCGGTTCAATCTCAGTATCCAGTCTATTAGGGAGCCTACTTTACTTTAAGGACCAATAGGCCGGCCCTTCACTGCATTTCTTTGTAAAATAGATTATCATTAAACTCACTTTATTAGGATTTATTAGGTTCTTCACCAGCAGACCTCTGCAATGGGATTGAAGGTACCCTGTACTCATTTTATCATCAGGTAGACCTATTGTTCATCGCTTAGTGAACATCTTTCTTACCAGCAGCACACGTCAAAATCACGCTGCGTTCACTTACAATTTAAATAAGAAACAATCATCAAGAGACTTAAAATATAAAATTAATCTAAACTAAAATGCATCAAGATATCTAAACTAAAATACATCGAGATAAACATAGATTTTTAAAAATCAGATACAATGAATAAAAGAAAATAGCCTAGATCTTATTTCGTTTCGCTTATTTATTTTACCAAAATAACAAAACAAATACAGAAAATGGTCAAAGCTGCTTAAGCAAATGAATCAATACAACTCTTTGTATTGTTGATGACGATTTATTATTTATTTGAAATGATGGTCATATCCTAAAGTTTGTTTTCAAACTTATTTTAGCCACCATCCACATCTACTTTTCAAATATAATTATTTTTTAAACTAAAATTGAGAATAATTGTTATGTGGAAACTATCGATAAACAAAACAAAACATTTATAAGTCAACTGTCCCACAAAACGTTTGGCAGCGGTGGGATTCGAACCCACGCCATCGAAATGACTGGTGCCTTAAACCAGCGCCTTAGACCGCTCGGCCACGCTACCTGAACGTACTGTCTGCCATTCTTTAATTTCTCTTTTTGTTACAATTCTCTTTTATATTTAGTATTTTGTTTATTACATACAAACCCCCCTCACATAACATAACTATGATCAAATACCACAGAGCGCCTGCCTGATTACTGCCACATTACTTGTGGAGTTCCTCAAGGCTCCTTATTGGGGCCCCTCCTTTTTATTTTATACGTCAATGATATCAATCAATCCTCAAAGTTACTTAATTTTTTCTTTATGCAGATGACACCACTGTGTTTTGTTCTGATCATAATATCCAATCATTATTTGATACTGTCAACTCCAACCTGATTCCCTTATCCCAATTCTTTGCTGCTAACAAACTTTCAATTAACCATAAGAAATGTAATTTCATCCTGTTTGGGACCCCACAGAAGTTAAAATGTATTGATACCACCCCTTTTAAAATCTTTATTGACAGCTATGACATACCCTCTGTTCAATCAGTTCTTAGGGGTATATATTGACAGCGGGCTTACATGGAAAAAGCATAGCAATGAAACTGAGAATAAAATTTCAAAAAGCCTTGGTATTATTGTCAGATTATCCCAATTTGTACCCCATAATATTCTCCGTATCCTTTACTGCTCCCTAATCCTTCCTTATTTGAGCTACTGCAATATCGTTTGGGGCAATACTTATTTAACCTACATTAACAAACTCCACATTCTAAAAAAAAAAGCTATTAGATTCATATCTGGCGCTCCACCACTGTCTCATTCCTCTCCCTTATTTTCCAATTTAAATCTTCTCAAACTCACTGACATTAACCGAATTCAACAAGGTACTTTTTTATACTCAGCCATTAATTTTATTCTCCCTAATCATCTTAGTAAAATGTTTACCCTAAATTACTCCATACATGATTATCATACTCGATCTAGAAATGACATTCACATACCTAATCATAACACAAACTATTTTCAACACAATATTAGATACACTGGTCCTATACTCTGGAATAATTTACCACTCTCAATATTAAACTCTCAATATTAAATTTTCCTAAGACACAATAAATTAAAGAAGGAACAATATTATTTTATGCCTATTATTGGCATAAAACACTTTAACCAACCAGTCTTTTTTTGTCGACATTCTTTTGTACCAGAAGTTGTTCAGCACGTTCACCTGGATTGGTATTTAATTCATCGGAATGACACGTGGTGTTTCGCACCGGTTTTAGTTTATTCCTAAAGCAAACACACACCGGTTTTAGCAAGGCAAGAGTTGACGAAGTTGTTGTCGTCTGCAAAAATGGAGCGCATGATACAATGCTTATTCTTTATTGTAGTTTATTCATTCTGTGTTGAAGCAAGACGTTCAGCACTATTTACGTATTCCTATACCGAACCTCCGACCCCGCCCATGAGAAACTGTCCGTGTGGGTAAGCAAGATCTATTTTGTTTGACTTCTGGACCACTTGTCCATATGGTTAGAATAGCCACCGAATATTGATGTCCTACTTTACAGTATTGTTATTGAATTTTTTATATTTAGGCAACGCCTAATCAAATTAGCAGACTTCCCAAGTAGGCCTACTACGGAACTTCAATAGGTACTACGGAAATGTTGCCTAATTACGGACAAAAATAGGCCTACTACGGACATTTACCACAGGCCTACTAGATCCATGAATAAATAGGTGTAAAAGTCCAGAACAAATTAGGCCCACTTTTCCATCCGAATCTCTGGTTACATTGTCCCCACACAACTCATACTTGTCAGATTACTGATATATTATTATGAAAACTAAGAAAAATTGGCCGTAAATCTTCATCCTGTCCCGTTTCTTTGAAATTCCACAGCTGTTATTATCCTGTACCTTAAGACAGATTATTAGGTGCTACGGAAATTTTGTATTTACTACGGATATTTGAAGCATGGTTACTGAAATGCATTTTACTAACTTGAGAAGTCTGTTAGTAACTAAAGTCTCGCCTTAGAAATATCTGGTTTTGTTGATGGCCTCTAGCTCTGATCCTTACTAACTCGTAAACTGGTCTTTAAAATAATTATTTCTGTGTTTCCTTATTTTAAGTTCGAATCCTTGTGACAATTTCGGGGTGTGCGTTAATGAACCAACTAATTCGTTCAGATGTGACTGCCAGGGTAACTGGATGGGGCCCACGTGTGACGATTGCTTACCACCGGCAACATGTAAGTTTACTTATTATTCTGTTATATGAATATCAATGTCAAAAACATAAATTAAATGTATTCTTATTCAGGTATTTACATAAAATACTTATAGCCGCACCTTAGTAGGACGCATTTTTTTTAACTGTACATGACTTTTGCTAGTGGGATCATTGACTTGTTTCATACTGCACTATGTATGCTTTGGTACAAGCGTAAAAGTCGTTAAAGAAAACCATATCGGCTGCTATAATCGCTTCAATCCGTAAATTTTTTCAAAATTACTTTACAGAGATACAAACTGTTGTTATATATTGTAGACGAAATCTATGTAATTCTTGTTGTGAATAATTATAACTCTAAAATAATTTGATCATGCCACTTCGAATGAGAATTGCTTTGAATATTTAGTGACACGCAAGTTGTCAAATGGAGAGGGTAATCAGCAGAATGTATTTTTTTTCAGTGGTCTGTAAGAACAACTGCCCGTACAAGCCTAACCTGTTGTGCAACGATGGTGGTATAGGATCAGCAACGAGTTTCTGTGCTGCGGGTACGGACTGCAACAATTGTGGGGCTCGCTGTCTTTTGCCGTAGTTCAAGAAATCATAATATAATAAAATATTTAAGGACTGCAACTACTATATATCTACAAATGTACACTTTATTCATATAAAATTTACAAATTGTATTTCATTGTAATACTATTCAACCTTGTAATAAAGAAAATTAAGTATGGCTTCAGTGCATACATTGATATGATAATTTTTTTAAATACAGTTTTGGAATCCCTGTTTTTGGTACGAAAGTAGTTTCCTTAACAATTGGTCTTACTGTACTTGCCCCATGAATAAACGAGGATCTATCATAAATTAATAGATAATGACAAAAGGCAAAGGGAAGTGTGGATTGCCACAAATAAATGAATTTACTCTCAGCAGCTCAAAAACTCAAAAGCATCCTTTGCGAGTGCACATCAAAATTTCATAAATCAGTAGTAGTAATACCATGCGACACATCAAATGAGTATTTGCTAATATACGAAAAGCATGTGGCTGAGCGATAAATGTTGTGGGTTTCCCATCACAATTTTTAGGGCTCATCTTCCAATGCGTTTTGAAATATATCCAAAGTAAGTTGAGTACAGTATGTGTTTTATACATTTTTAACCAATGCCCTGCGAGACTTGACATTTATATTATGTCATTGCAGATGTCATGGCAGAGAACAATACATTTGTAATTCAGTTAAAATTACTATTTTTTATTTTTTTTATTTCATCCCATTAAAATGTTCAATTCCTTGAATTCAGGTAAGCCATAGAGAGGAGACATTCTTTCGTGCCAGCTGAGGCCCAGAGCTAAGACTACCTCTCAATTCGGCATCTTTCACCATCTTATCAAAGGATCTGTAATACAAAAAAATGTTTAAATAAATTAATTCCTTTCACATTTGCAAGAACCTAACTTAAAAACACAAGTTTACCTTTTAGCGCCTTATGGATAAACTGGGCCTCAAAATGTCATCACAAGCCTCGGTCCTATCTCGTTAGTATACTACCTTTTGTGCAGAACAGTAAAATAATAATGCTAGTCCTTAGCAAATATTGAGGTCTATTCTCATTAAGGAGCTTTCCAATTTGCCCAACGACATAATGCCAGAACAGATTCACTTATTTGTAAGCATTCTATGTTATCTGCACAACATAGATTTGGACCAATCTCAACTTAAGAACTCAACTTTCTCACATGCGCAAATAACATTCTAGGTCCTACCGTCGCCGTGCAATTGGAAGCTCCTTCATATTAACCACGGCATTAAGTCAAATGCCTATGTATTCAGTCCATTGGCATTTCAACCTACTATACATGGTTATCCTTTGGTACACACATGGAAAGGGATGCTAGCAGGGGAATAGTGGAAATTGGTAACTTCTAGGTCTGATTAAAGAGGCTGACCTGGAATTTTTTGTCTTTGTACATTCTCCTGATGATGTTAAAGAGGACCGCCTAGCCGCACTGCGCAGAATCTGCTTCGTCTCTTCTCGTTGTTCAGAAAATCTCTTACTACGAGCATCTTTAGCTGCAATTTGATGAGATAAATATTTTCTGTAGAGATCATCATCCTCTTGTACCCTAAAATCAGAGGATAATAACATCAAAATAATCGGCAGTATACATGGCACATGTAAAAAAAAAGAAACTGATCTTAAAAATCTTGGTAGGATTACTTAAAAGAAATTCATCATTGTGAAATGGTTCTCCAGATTTGATGAGGATGACTGCTAATCTTAAACCAATTACTGGATTTTTCATCGCAACATCTTTATGATCACGCCTAAGGGGTCTCTTGATTAAATTGTCCTAATACCTTTTTATAATTCATGAATAAAATTCAATTTTCTCTTTTTTTTCTCTGCCTCGATGCTTTTTCGCAAACTCATTTCCTAAATGAGAAACCTTCCAATATTAAAGTTCACTAAACAAGGTAATAAAGTCTCACATTATTCATAATAAATTGTCCACCTCATACACTAATACATTTTTCATAGTTCATCAATAAAATTTAATTTATATTTTCTCTGACTCGATGCTTTTTTCCTACATGAGAAATCTTCCAATATTAAAGTTCACTAAACAAGGTAATGAAGCCTGACATTATTCATAATAAAGATGATATTTATTCATATTAGATGTTATACGGGAGCGTGATGACTACGTACAATATAAATTAAGAATAAAATGTAGGAAGTAATGCATACTTTTTCATAAGTGTTTGTTGTGTCTTTTCTTTCATTACTCTTGATTCATGAGCTCGAAGTGCTTTCTGCTCGGCTGTCCACTGACCTCTCACCGATGCTCTCTGTTGGGCCTTCAATAAGCAAAAAAAAAATTATTTTGATTTGAAGGCATCTCGTTATAACTAATACTTTGTCTCCAAGGAGTATGGTTGTTTTCATGAATAAATGAAAATAAAGGTCAGAAAGGTAATAAGGATAAGAAAGGAAATGTTTTTAAATCTGACATTTTGTTATAAAGTTACAGGAGTTTAAACATACAGCAGTTTCAAAAACAATATTTGAGAAATCAGCCTTTACGATTTTGGGCATTTCTTGGGCAGAAACCATCTCCAAATCATTAAAAATTGTTTTAGCATTTAAAATGGGAAAATACCAGCATAGCATGATGTATAGATATATAAAGTTCAGTTTAGTGCAACAAAATAGATTTCCAAAATGTTGACATTTCGAGCATGTTTTGGCCATTATCTCCAAAACAGGATTTGCAACGAGCGACTAGTTTGGCTTGTCTTTGCCACACATACACATGACACATGCAAACCTAAAAAAAACCCATCAAAAGTTAGTCTACAAGTGCTATCTACTTATTATTTAAATTTAAAAAAAAAAAAAAAATGTGCTTTGATTTTAGAAAAATATAAATTTCGTTTTACCCTTGTGACATAGTTTTTGACCTCTGCTTGCCAGTCTTTTAAGTCCTCTTGGTACTGTTTTTGAGTTTGTTGATTTTTCAGTTTCTGTTTTGCTTCCTTTTGTCTGAAAATAAAGAAAATTATGAAGTTCAAGCACAATGTTTGAATTAAATCCAAACAGAGTTGTTTAAAATAAGCATACTCTTCTGTCCCATAGACCCCGAAACTGACTGCTAATTAAGTTCAGAATTGTTAACTTTGTGTAAAAAAATCTCAGTGTTAATCACATATAAAGCACAGATTCTTAAACATATAAAAGCTTAAATGCCAATTTCTAGTAGGCCTACTTAATTGCTTTGAATTTTATTTAAATTATATTACAGGGTGTGGTGGGGTGTGTTTATTTGGTTATTCGCAATGTTGTGTGTATTAATGTGTATACAGAGTACAATACCTTATTGTAAGTCGTCGTCGTTGTAGTTGTTTTGATGGAAATAAGGATTTGATTTATGTAATTTATTAAAAGGAAGAGTTACTTTCTTGACATATTATCAAATACATAAATAACATTTACATATAATTTGCATAGAATCTTACATTGGCTAATAATCATTTTTCTATAAATCAGGGGACAGAAAACTCTTTTGATGTTTGTCATTTAAACTTAATACATATGATCCCCTTGGAGGGAAATCAAATTATGATATGTTGTGATTACCCCCCTTTTGATCACTGACAGCATATGTCTAAGTAGTCATTGGTCTCACCAGTAAAACTACATATCTCTAAAAAATGATGATGTATGATCTAGAACCTCTTGACCTATTAACCTCTGTATTCTCTCTTCTACTGCCAGGAATTATGTATCTGAAGTCATTTATTGCTAGAAATTACTTTCATTTTAAATGAATGTAATATATTTAACAAATGAAACATACTTTTTTTCTAGCATGTGTTGGGTCTTCTGCCAACTTTGGTTCCTGTACACTCTGTCCATGTTTATCTGTTTCAATTGTATGTTTTCTTCTAAAACTTTCTGATCCTCTCTGCAAACATTCATTGAAACATAAAATAATCACAATGCATTTAGTTAAATTTGTAAAATTATTACGTATTTGTTTATTACTTTTAATTATTAAAAAAAAAACCACATAAAATGGTAAACTCTGCCAATTACTGTCTTAAAATATAAATACATAAACAAAGGTTCATAAAACAAGGTTCAAAATAAAACATTTCATAAAACAAGGTTCATAAAACAAGGTTCAAAATACACAAATTTTTTTATATACTGTACACATAAATTTACTTATATTATCTGGCTAAGTAAAGAAAAAATGTTTCTTGCTGAAGAGCTTTATAATAGCTGCTTTTTTTGGATCAAATTATTATGCTGGTAACAACTTAAATAATGAAAGCTACACAGGTCAAAGTGGAGGAATATGCTACTCCAGCGAAATGTTAAAATTCACATCTTTTGTTACAAAATGTGGAGGTAAAAAGGCGAGTGGCGACGAAGAGAACTTAACCTTCTCGCAAGACTTTTAGTGATGCCATTACGTTCTTCATCCTACCGTCGTCGTGCAATCAAAAGCTCCCTAATGTTAAAATATATGCAAACAGGTTTGTATGCGAGAAAAAAAGGTGTTTTTGTTCGTGATGTTTGTATTCCTGGCCTGTCAGTTTGATTGGCACTCTGGAAACTTCCATTACCTGCTTTGTTCATCAATACATTTCTTTCTGGCTTGATGGAAAACTTTCTTTTTTCTATTCTTGTTCTTAACTTCCTGCAAAAAACAGTTCAATTACAATTATTATATTTTAAATACTGTAGCAAAAGGAAAATTTTCTCTTTTAAGAAAGGTGTTGAGTTGCCTTACCACTTGCTTTGATTTCAGTTCCTTGAGCCTCTGTTCTTCTGCCCTGCTTAGCCTCATATGCTGATGCTTCTCAATGGCGTGCTGGTAATCTTCTATGTCTTCCTCATATTGCTTGAGTGCTCTCTCCTGTTGGAGGGAAACAATATATACAACATAAAACCTAATAATTATTTCAAGGTAACTGTACAGTAACATCTCCCAACTACGTACCCCTCTGTCTGAACAGAGTTTAAAATTGGGGAAAGAGAGAGTTTGAATATTCATTATTATTATTATTATATTTATTTCCTCCATAAAAATATATATGTATATACAATATACAATACAAGATTAAAACATTAAAATTGAAAGAAAATCCATTGAAACAAAGAGTATACAGATTGCTGGCGAGTGGGGAGGCGGGCATACCAAAAGGAACGGAGTTCCTGTACAATAGATGTTTGGAATCCACAAGCACTCATCAGTAAAACTTATAGTCAAACAAGAAAGTTATATGAACGATTCCTTAACAAATTTCTTAAATAAATTAAAATTACCATTACGCACATGTAAAGGAAGGCAATTCCAACAGTCAATAATTCTATGACAAAAAGAATGAGCAAGTTCGTTGCATCGGGGATTTCTATTACAAAGAGTAGGAGATTCTTTTCTTACATTAAGAATGAAGTCAAACATGTTAATAATTGGGCTGTTAAACAATTTAAAAAAAAAAACACATATCGATGACTTTCCGACGTTTTTTAAGAGAAACAGAACCCAATTCAGCATCCGGTCCTCATAGGAAACATATCCAATATCCCCAATCCTAAGAGAACAAGTCTGGCCAAAATAATACCTAGTGAAATCTCTCTGAATGCGTTCAATCCTGGCAATATCACATTCCATATAGGGGTTCCATACTGGGGACACATAATCTAATATGGGAAGACATAGACTATTATACATAGTGAGTGAAAGTTTTGATCGACCAGTGAAACGTTTAATAAAACCAAGTACTCGGTTGGCTTTATTACAAATTGATTGAATATGCAGATGCCATTTTAGGTTTGATTGAATAATAACGCCAAGGTAGTTATGCTCATGCTTCATAGCATCACAGTTGTGACGGTAGACATAGGCCTAGTCCTACATAGTATACAAAACAGGAAACCATGTTAAAATAATGTATTCAGTCCCCTTATAAACAAAATTGTACTCAATAATATTAATTTCTAAATTTTTAAATAATTTTATCTGACCAATCAAATAAAAAAACACAATTGTGCATATTTTTATTCCTCATTCCCCAATAACATTTATAAATTAGATACCTGTTTCTTTTTTCTGTGCCTCTGTTCTTCAAGTTTCAACAGTAATTGATGTCTCTGTTGAAAAATAAACAGGAAAGCAGTGTAAGTATTTTACACAATTTGTCTTGAATGTTACCAAAAAGTATAGAATGGCAAGGGGTCCGACTGTCTGGGTTTCCTTGAAACGGAATCCTATCTCAAAAGTGCAACCTACAAACTAGAGCGAGTCCTTCAATTTTGAAGATATACACGTAAAAGTTGTTTGTATCGAACACGTGCTATGTCTAAAGAACGCCTTCACAAATTTTGAACTCTATTCAAATTCTAATAAGGCACCCTTTTTCATTTCGTTGCATGCATGCAAAATCAAGACAGTCTATACTCTTTGACGTTACTCATTCTTAGCAACTTAAAATTGTCCAGTTCTACCCACCTTCATAACCTTCTGCATCATGCAACAAACTCGTACACCAACTTCTACTCAAAATTCTCAAATCTTACTAATGTTTCTCAACTCCTACTCACTCTTAACTCTTATATATAACTTAATACCTTCTACAAACTTGCCCCTAAGCATTTCCAACACAGCCTCATCACCTACCATTCAGCCATATTAACTCCCACTCACACTTATCAACTCCTACTTACCATCCTTAACACCACATACACTCCTCAAGTATTCACTCTTTTCTTTGAGTGGGGCAGGCTATCTTTCGCTCATGGGATATTTTTTCCGTTGCACTCATAAACATTCACTATTTATTCATTTTCAATTATTATGTGTTATTTGTAATTTGGATGCACAACCAGATAGTGTGTGCCCCTGAAACAGAAGTTCAAAGTTCGATGAACTGCTACTCACCTTCATCACCTCCCCCTACTTAAATTTGGCAACTCCTACTAAACCTTGACAACTTCTACTCACCCTTAACTTTTACTGACCCTCAACTAAACCTGCTTACCCTTATCTTTTCTTGTTCTTCTAAAATACTCTGAGATCTGAGATTTCTCTGCTCAATCTCCTTCAAAGCATTTTTTAGATGAGCTTGTTCTTCATGTTCAATGAATTGCTGTGCCACCTTCTATTTAGAAATCATTCAAATACAAATTAATTGAACCAACAATTTAATTTGCAATGCCCAACATTAAAGATATACTGTTTGTGAAAAATTCTGTTAAACCTTCAAAAACATTATTTAAAAAAAAAATTATTAATATTAATTATCTAAATGCAAATTTTATATTTTTATATATCTGATGAAATAATAAGTAAATTTTGATGTTTTTAAAATTTGAATTATATTTTTCAAAAATGAAATTTCATTTTTTATCTATTTCTGTGATCTTTGTACGCTTGTATGTAAATGCTGTAAATAAACTATTGTAAATACCATCACAATTCAGCATTGTATTTTTAATTAAATTGTAAATAAACTGTTTATCTATCTATCTAACAAGACTTATATTGAAACAATTCAGTTTTGTTTTTAATTTTTTATTATATCTTGCATTGACATTTAGAAAAAGAATATAGCTTAATAATGGGGTGGAGGAGAAATAATATTTTCTCAGTTTCCAACTAAAATCTAGCTATACAAAGTATGATTTCAAAAAGGATATTTTCACAAACTAAAGCAAAGATAACAAATGTTCTTACCACCCTTTTTTGCTTCAATCTTTCTTTTTGTATGAGTTCATTCCTCATTGCCAACTTTTCTTGAAATTTTCTTTCTCGCATCCTTTGCTTCTTTGCGTCTTCTTCCCAAGCCACAAAGACATGATCACGCAGTGTTTGGGCTGGTTCATCAGCACTGAGCACGTCACCTACAAATATGTTATTGTAGAAATAAATGAGTGTTCAGCAGAGAGGAAATGTTCCTACTATTTTTGTTGAAGACCCCGGTTAAAAAAATACAAGGTACAAGGTAAAAATGGTTATTCATCCATACATGCAAATCAAAAAGGCTAGCATTGGATTTTAATTCACTCAGCTCCTCAAATGACCTTTGCATGCGAGTTAGATGGGACATGTGGTACTGCCGCAAGACTATGGCCTTCATGGGTCCCCAGGGGCCTAGTCAAAATTAATAATTCCAAATTTTGAAAAATGTCAAAAATAAAATAAAAAATAATAATATATTAATTATGGTAAACCATACATCTCAATTACAAAATGGCATTATTTGAAATGCAATAAAATGACGACAAGGGCTGTGAGCCCATTTAATTAAAACACTGGGCTGTAGAATAATTCAATGGCTTGGACTAATTCACAAATACGTCAGATGAACGTCAAAGACTGGGCCTATAGCCAGCTCTTAGTAAGTGCAACTTCGGTGCACCTAAAGCTAAATCTATGCTGAAACAGAGTGAACACAGCAGATCTACAATGCAATATAATTTAGCAAAAACAAAGCCTATGAAATAAATAAATAAGGAAACATAAGCAAAAAAAATATATATAAATAATAAGAAAAACACTTATCAAGCATCAAAATGAATTATAAATAAAGAACAATACCTGCCAAGAAGGAAGTACCTTGATACAGGCTGTCAGATGGCGCTCTTGATATACTTCTTTGTGACCTTCCCCTCTCCTCGTGTATTATCTTCTCACGGATCTGGCGACACTCCTTTAGCAGATCTAAAAATTAGATGTGTTTGAGACTGACTACCATTTAAATGTTTGAAGTTTGCAGTTTTAGAAATTACGATTAGATCTAAAATAGCACAGCATATCTAATTATATTCAGACACATGAGCTAAATTATCTTTTAAAACTTTGCTTTTTAATTATTTTATTGATGTTGTGAATGTTTAAATTGTTATTCTTTTTTCTTATATTTTATATGCTTTTTAAATATTTTATCATATTTTTGTTGGCCATGGCTTTAGAGATGACCACTTTTTGTGTTGGGCTTTAGCCCATGTCATCTCTAATCACGACCCTGATATGTGTTTATACATATTGTGACAAATTTTCAATAAATAAATTATCGAAAGAAACACATTAATGCAAAGTGTTGTTTTTATGTTCCATTTTATTGTATTTTGCTATGTGTGATACCAACCACCAGCTGATTTCAGAAAGACAAATAACATGTTGGTAATAAATATGTTCAACACTCTGAATTTGTAAGAGAATAGTAGGTTTGCAAGAGACTTTTTCTTTCTTGCTGGGGTGTGTAAGACAGTGCCAATTTCAGGAAACTACTGACCTCTGCCTAATGTCTGAATGAATGTGTGTATATATTCATTCGGAATACCTTAAATTATGCTAACTTACCAAGCCTTTGTCTCTCTCTAGCTTCATAGAGATTTTGAAGATGTCTAAGTGATGAGACTCCTTGATCATCTTCAATAAGGTCATTCAATGGTTTATGTAGCAGTTCCATAGGCTAAATAGAATGTGTGACATTCTGTCAATCAAATCTTATGTATAACATGTATAATTAAGTTTCAAAACCAATAACCAGAAAAAACATGGTGAACCGAGTGTACGATGATAGAGTGGCATGGAATGGGCAACATTTCATGTTCCTCTGGACAAATACATACAAAATATACTGTACATTACAAAAATAGAATATTTACCTTCACACCCAGTCTTGTGCATGCTTCTAATGACCGGGGACTTGTGAGGATGTAACGACAATCTTCAGCATCAACACTCTCAAAGTTGTACAGGTCCAAATTCAACATCATTGGTGTCACTAAAATGCTGAAGTACAGTAAAACAAATAGATAATCTATCTTGAGATTAGAAGAAACAGTTAAAAAAACATAACAATATAAAACCCATGGTATTATTTTTACAAAAATCATTTACAGACCTAGCCTAGCTAGCAGGAGGTAGCTTAACCAAGATTGTGACTATTTTAGAACAATGGATATTAATTGATTTATATACTTTCAATTGGGTTCACATTGTATATATTTTCATTGTGTTGGAAAATAGATGTGCAGATAACATTGTGCTGCCTGCCTTTTTACTGTCCTAACCATTGTGTAATAATTGATAATTGAAATTGGTGTTAGTGTAAGCCCTAGGCCTATCTATAAAATAGAATAATATATACTGGCCATAACTGCGTGGATAATACCTCAAAATCAAGCTCAAATTTGCACGGAAATTACCTACTGTAGCTAAGAAAATAGGTGAGCAGAATCGTAATTACTCCATAAAATAATACATTGTTTATATTAAGATTTATCAAAGCCTAGTTTTTTGAGTGGAAATTGGTACTTATTTCCTGAAATGCGCAGGTGGATTTCTAGGCTAAAGTTTTTTTTTAGGATTGCCGTTAAAAGTATATATTCCCCACGCAGGCCTAGGCTTACCC